AGGTGAAGGAAATTTAGAATTTAAGCTGTTTTGGAAAGAGGAGGAAAGGCTTTTACTTGGCCATTCCAAACGTCCGGTTTTCATCAAGCTTTTTGCTGAGCTTTCGGGTGGTTCAAGTTGCTCCTGGGCTGTGTAAATAATATCTTTTGAGACTTTAAGAATTGCATCATTGCAGAGTTGTTTGTAATAATACACATCATCGACATGCCATCACTTTAATCATGCCAACCACATTTGTTAACATCAACACTCATATCTTTGAGAAGACATCTCCATCATCGTAATCGAATATCTAAAAAAACATTACAATGTAAAGAGTTGCATGCAGTTGACTGCTGACCCTCAGGGTACAGACTCTCTGAATAGGAGGGGCACAATCCATTCATCCACCCAAAAGCTATACCGGCTGGGGGGCTGGAGCCAATCCCTGATTACATTGGGTACACACTGGACAGGTCACTAGTCTGTACACATAGAGACAGACAACCAATTGCTAATTAACTGTGTGGTAGGAAAACAGAGCACTCGGAGAAAACCCAAGCAGACGGGGAGTACGAGCAAACGTCCTAGGGGTCTGGCCGGCAGAAGTACAATATGCTAAAGGCATCAATCTCAGCTTCCCTGAAATGAGATCCCATTGTGCCTTATAGGTATCACAACATATCTATGACAGCAGTTGTGATTGGGTTCTGAGCCTGGGCCAAAAACGCCTTTATGAGGTGTTTGAAATTTAAATGAAGGGGTACGAACTTCATTTGGGATTCGGGGTGGTTACAGTTGTCCCCCCCGAGCACAAAGTCAAAGCAACGACCTTTAAAATTACACAAAAGAGACGGGAGATGTGGAGACAAACCAAAACTTCAACAATGCCTTGGTGGTCCTATTCTCACTCTTTGTTGTTGGTTGAGGTTCTGAACATTGTTTTTCCCAACCACAACCCTCAAAGTTGTTCTTTCTTCCCAACAAACATGTGCCTACTGAATGCTTTGCGGCCTGCATCTGTGCAAAACAAAAAGGTTCTCAGTGGTGGTCAGCTGGTTTTGTTCGTGGGCATAATCGGGACAATTACTTCTCAGTAATCCAAAACTGTCCTTACTGAAGGATCGCTTCCAACGGAATAGGAAGGGAGAATGCAGAAACCATATCTTCTTCATCTCACACGGTCAGGAATGCAAGCGCAAGCATTATCTGAGAGGAGGGGGAGAGAGGGTTTAGAGAGCAGAACACGCATATAAATGAATAGTGAGCTTTAGTGTGTAACCGTTCCTGGTCAAGCACATTGGATCCCATTTTATAAAGTACTTAAAGGTTACTACCTCTGGTGCACAAACAAAATGGGACACCTTCTACATACTCCTTGGAAAACCCATTTTATAAAAACAAATATGTCAGTGTAATGAAGGAACTGTTAATACTACCAAATGTAATGACTTATATAATAAACTTTTCATACTCACTCTAGAGGCCTGAAGTACCGTAAACGGTACTTCAGGCCAGATATCAATCAGTGACAGAGGGACACAAGCACAGAGACTTAGGATAACAATCAAAAACACAACAAGAGTGACCTCTTAGTGTAAACCGACTGGGTCATCTTGTTGCCAGACGTGAAATCCAAGGTCCCTGGCAGGAAATCCAGCGTGTGCTGTTGACATTGCAACTCATCCGTGACGGACAAGGCATAACACTTGTGGAGAGGAAGAGTTTCAGAAAAAAAAAAAAAGAAGTGAAATCCAAGAAAGACAGGGTGCTGTCACTGGAAAACATTTAGTTTTAGCATGGCATTACATCTTTCATACAATTTTCACACAAGGAAACGTAATACATTCAATACAGAGATTACAGATAGTGAAAAATATGCTATGGTTACAAAATCCAAGAGGGTTGAATAACTGTACTGTCACTACAATGTTGACAAATCACATTTTGAATTGGTATTGAGTTTCTTCACTGATTGCAGAGTCCCTAAAATCATACCTATTTAAAATGTTCCATAGTCTTAGTTGATGCTGTTATAATCAATTTCTGTCACCTTTGTAAAATATGTAATTTCATATTATTGATCTCTTTATAGTCATTCACCAGCTGTACTACCAACAATAAAGGCCATTTTTTATTAAAAATAAATAGTAAAGATATTGTAATTGGTCGCAGTTAAAATGTCCCCAAGCACCTAAAGGATTATAGTTTTTCTTCGTGGATAGCAGTGTACCATACAGAACTAGGGTTAGTTTTTAACGTCCATTATAAAGAGTAAAATGAGCCTGTAGTTTGTCTTTGGGGGGCAGTGAGGAATAGTGGCTCAAAGAATCTGGGCTTGAGCACAGCTGCTTTCAGGTTCAAGTGTAAAGCGGACTGCGCTAACGAGAAAGTCACTTACCATCTGATCAACGTGCAAAAGGGAAAACAGGAATTACTTTAAATTTATGACCAGAGAACATTACGGGTCGTTGTTAATGGATGTGTCCTTCAGCCAAATTCAATGTTGCAGAGAGATGTGGCTGAACCTACACCTCCAATCCTTTCTTTTCCAGGACATTGTTGATTTTGGCTGGATGTCAGTTTCTGATGTTGGCTAGACACTGGGAGAGCTGACTCAGGGTGCTTCCTTCTCATTTTCACACACATTTGGATGGGGAATGTGTGTTGGCAATGTGACAGAAGTTAGTAACAGAAATCTGATCCACTGTGGAAAAAACTGAGATATTTTGAAAGAAAAGGACATGATCCAGAACTCGACACGCAATGCAACAGATAGTAATCATAAACTTTTATTCTGAATGTACCTTATTTGCACATGAATAAACACGTTTTTCCTCCCCATGATTATAAACATTGTTCTTTTTTTCTTTTTGTTGAGAACAACATCAGTTTTGTACAAATGTTTACATGACTGATTCTGGAGAATCAAGTTCCACTAAAGTGTAACATGTTAAAGCACAATCAAGGGAGACTGACAAAGAGGCCCACCAAGACCCTCCCAAAGATTCTGGCGAGGGGTGACTTGATGGACGCCTCCATCAAGAGCCTGCCTTAAAACCAAAGGCAGAGAAAGATTGACCGACAGGCCCGTCAGTCGTCTGCCAAAGAGTGGCAGCAAGGTCACATACACAAAAAACACACATTAAGCAATCCTCAAGATTCCAGAAATAAAAAGGCCAACCCACACAATCCATACAGACAAGCACCAACAGAGAGTCAAAAACACTTCATATCACATCGAGAGTATATTATTCCTGAAGTGACAGCATCTGATTTTAGCACTTAAGAGTAGAATGAATCTGGACAACTATATGGAGCTCATGTTCATTCTCCAATGTTTTCTGTGCATCTCTAAAAGCAGCCAGTTGGGGCATTTTAGGTGGTGTGTATTTTCTGACTTAAAAAACCATACCAGTATTTTTTGCAAGTTTAACCACGACACATTACAATAGTCTACAATTAATGTATATTTAGCCTATTACTACTGACCATATCCACTTTTTCCCCCACATTTGAAGGTATTTTCTTACATTTCAGGCAGACATATTTTTTCTGTTAATTTCTGTACAGCTCTCTGTACAACTCTGTTAAGGCTCTTAAAAGTTCGAATGAGAAGCTTCTAGCGTGAATGGAAGCGCACAAAATGTAGTAGGAAATAAACAAGACTAGAGCATCTATTTTGCTTGTAATCAGCTGATTGAATCGGCATTATCAATGGTTATCACAACCATTCTAATGCTTCATATGGCCAAACTGCACAGCGCAACGTTAACGATGTGAATTCGCTCTTCACGGAGCCCACACTGTCACTAACTGCACTCCCTGAATAAATATGATGTAATTTTTGTAAAAACAAAAAAGCAGACTGAAGGGTCTACAGTATGTGTTTGAAGGATATATGCAGGTGTCAAACTGAGCCAGCAGCGAAAACAGGTTAAAAAGATAAAGATAGAAGCTAACAAAGGCCTGTAGATCACCTGGCGATCAAGACGGAAGACGATGAAATTAAGGAACAACACTGTTCCCGTATAGCCGGGAAGGTCTTTATTCACTGCTGCAATCATTAAAAAGCAAAGTAGCATGTGTATACACTTAGCATACCTCCAGTAGCTTCAGTGGAACAGTAAGTTATTGATGTGCTGACTTAGCGAAGGGTCAATTGAAACAAAACATTTAGTCTACAGCCATGCTAGCAGCCGTGTTGGGCTGCAACAGTGGTGCTTGAGCTAAATGCTCGTCGGCAGCACTAACCTGCATATTTTCAGTAATGTTCACTTCTTTTTACTTTTAGAGCACTAAACAGCTGAGGCTGATGGGAATGTCGTTAGTTTTTAAAGGTATTAAACCAAATTATTGAACAATTTGAACTTTTGTCTTGATGATGGCGCGAGATGAACAGTCCAGGGATCACAGTAGTGATTACAATTCATACTAATTGAATGGCAATGAATCAAATAGCTGTTGAGACGTTTCACTCAATGCCACAACCTGAGACGAGGTAATGGTGGCGCTAGAGTAACGGGACCAATGTCATAAAGATTCATCCGGAATTGGTCAAACAAAGTGGTAGACCAACTAGAGCCCACACCGCTAGCTTAACTGAAAATCGGACACATTAGCAGACATTATTCATGATTTGCAGTGATTGGTCTAAAACTTGCTAAACCACCGGTATGGTCCTGAAACAATAGTGATTCATAAATAGCTTGAACCAATCTGACAGATTGAGTAGTGCATTCAAACATCACGCTGGCCAATCAGATTCTCTTTCCCCAGCTGACTCAGAGCAGGGCGGAGCCAAATGCTGTCCCCCCCCCCCCCCTTAGAAAAGCAGTAAATATGTTCACATCAG